AATTGCTGTTGAAAAGTGTTAGAACTCTCTTCAGCTTCAGATGCTTCACAGCTCCCAAAATCTATCTCAATCCACTTTTTTAAAAAACAGTGTTTAGGCTAGAAGTCATTTAATGATTTCTATACATGTATAGGTGCATCCAAGTACTTTGTTTGCATTTGCGAGGCAGTATTAGTAAGTAAGAGACATTTGCAGACCATGAACATGCAAACAGCTGCAGTCATGAGGAAAGCAGAATTGTGCTGGAGCTCAGCGAATGTGTACAGAAAATCACCTGTGATTTCACCTGTGAGATTCTGGCTTCCTGAGCTGTTGACCAACAGAGGCAAGAGCAACACCCAAGTTCAACACCTATGGAAGAAGTTGGAATATATCGCATACACCTTTGCACTGCCTGTGTGAACAGGCAAAGCTGGACAGCCCTGAGTCACTGACTCCCTGGTCCTCAGAACAGGCAGCATGGAGGCAGATCTGCTGCTTTGCTCTGTTCTGGTCTTTCTGATAGACGCAGTCTTGGCCCCTGTCTCTTACCACTGATGCAGCACCCTGTGGTTCCTCACACAGGAGAACCTGAGACAAAGTCTCACTGCGCTGAGGACTTTGCTGTTTATCAGGTCTGTTTTGCAGCCCAGTGCCCTTAGCCAAGGCAGTCAATTACGATGTCTGTAATACGTGCTTCTTGCTGGATCCTCCTGTATGTAAGACTTTTAAAGAGGAAAGCCATAAGTGGAAAATGGAACTGGTCATGGGAGCACTAATTTAAAGCGTCCGTGCCCTGACGGGATCCATCTGGCCCCAAGGGAAATGTGGTGTGTGACACATGCAAGGCACCAGGGGGGATTTCAGCCCAGGGAGCAGGGCAGACCCTGTCCCACTGCCATCCACCCTCATTAGTAGTCTTGCCAGCAAAAGGTGCCCTGAGCTGGCCCAGGCTGTGCTGAAGAAGCAGTGCCCAGACGGTGGCTACCTGTGCTGCTGCTAAGTCTCCAGCTCCACAAGCCTTATAAAAAGGTTAGAATTAAAAAAGGGAAGTGTAGCTCCATAATGCAGCAGCTACTGAAGCCAATTTTTTTCACATTGGATTTTCTGTCCCAATAGGAGCTATCAAGCAAGTATGCTCAAGTTTTTGATCTTCCTTTTCCTTTCCATTTTCCCTTCCCAAGTTAAATATGCTGGGAGGAAAGCAGTGCAGATGCAGGAGTGGCCACGTGGCACAGGACAAGTGCAATGCAACTTTGACTGTGACTGCCCAAGTGTCTGTGGCTCTCAAAAAGGTACCTCTGCAGGCTGAGGCAAAGTTTGAGAAACTCTTAGCACCACAGGAGCTTGTAGAGAAAGCTTTAAGAAACAAAAGGAGAGTTGGTAGGAGCAGAAAGTATATCTTGCATTGTGTGTATGTACATGCCTGCATATCTACAGAAACTTTCTCCGGTGCAAGTGTTTCTCAAAGAAACAACATCATGGCTAATCTATAGTTTGTAAACAAAAACAATTTCTTTTTTTTTTGGACACTTGAAAATTGAAGCTGAAATATAATCTTCATAAATTAACAACAGTTTACATTTGATACGTGTATTAGCTTGTACAAGACTCTAGGTAAACCTCTCATGCCTTGTAGCATACAATCTATACGCAAAACCCAAAACTGCCCTGCATGGTAAATTTAAAATTGTTTCCCTTGAAGTAGAAAAATCAACTTCTATACCAGGTAAATCTGAAGACAGAGAAAAGACAGCAAAATATTACCCACAAATTTAGAGGTTGCTTCCTGATATTTTTTCTCCTAGTAGAACTATAAATTACTTTGGGTACTGGTGAGAAGGGTAGTGTTATACAATAATGTTTGGAAGTTATTTGACCGAGGAGATCCCAGAAGCAGTACTCTAACTCCACTGAAACCAGTGGCTGAATGGTGGTTAACTTCACAGAGCTGTGACTGCAACTCAGCTATCCAGTCACTAGATATATGACAAGTTGCTTTACCCTTATGTTGAATTAGCTATAAATTTTAATTAGTGTTACAGTGAATAAATTAACGTTTCTTCTATAAACTCACCCTTTACAGCTCCTGTAGGCCATGGTTTCACTAATTACAGTTCTCGTTCTGTTGGCTCAACATCCTGTTGAACTGAGACGATATCACTGTGTGTCTATCAAGGGACGTCCCTACATCATCATTACTCAACAGTTCAGAGATGCATTAAGTCTGTAAGGGAGATGTATGGACAAGACGTTCATTGACAGAAATTTAATTTATATTTCCATATTTAAATATCAACCAAAGTTGATATCATGAGAGCTTCAGAGAGAGAAGCAGTGTTACCTTTTTTTCTTATTCAGAAGATATACAGCTAGTCCATTATTGAACGTACTTTTTTCTCTCCTTGGAAGATGCTCTGGGTATACTTTTCCCTTTTCCCCTTTCCCTTTTGTACTTCATGGTTATTAAAACTAAAACAACCCAAGAAGTAAAAATTCATACCTTAAATAGATCCCTCTCCTTAAGCATTCAGTGTTAAATAATGTAAGCAGTAACATCCTTCTCTTTAAGATTCAGAACTAGACAGACAGAAGTGGACAAGCTCTATTTATTTACATGTATCCTCAGCTGCCTCCATTTCTCTTTCATACATCATTAATACCTGGAAATAGGAACTGTTTTTATTTTGGGGTAGCAGGTGCTTCCTTCATTGTTACAGGCTCCACCAGTCTGGTCTCTTCTGCCCTGAGAACATGAGGGATTATTTCAGGGAGAGCTAATTTGTCCAAGGCTATGCAACCAATCTTCATAGCTTTGTGCTTATTGCTCCAGGCTGGGTTCTCTGGCTCTGTCTGACATATAAAGATAAGTGGCAAACCCCACCTTTAAAACCAAATTCAGTATTGGGAGAAAGGTCAAGAGTTCAACAGTTGAGTGCTATTTCCAATAAGCATTTCAGTCATACAGGTGAATATTCTGATGGTGCACTGTGGTATGTAAGCTGGTGCAAGCAGATAGATACTTCCAGAAAGGCTGCTTCAGAGGGTAAAATCAGTCATGGAATATGGAAGTAATAGAGTAAGAAAAGGACAGCAAAGAAAGCAGACAAATTTGCCTTTCTAGAGAATATGATTCCTGGGTTCTTTAGTCACAGGACTGCATACAAAGCTGAGCTTATATAGCTTCAGCCCTCAGACCATTTAAATCGGGCAGTATTTAATGCTGTAAAGATGGGCAGACAGGCAGGTCACCAAGTCGCGCCAAGCTACAATCCTGATTACAGGTTCCAGTTATCTGTTTTGGCAGCCACTCTGAAGGTGGTGATTAGAGCAGCTTTGGAGGAGATCAGGTTCAGAGTGGTCACAAGGCCATGACTCCAGAGAATGAGATGTCTTCTATGGCAATATCACCTTTTCTTTACTTTTGGCCTGCCTCCTGTGTGCATGTGGGACTGATACAATATCATTGTGGTGATGTGGCACCCTGCAGGTCCATAGGCTGTAACCACCACAGCAGCGAGCAGGGCACAAGGCAAGAGGCTTCAGCAAAGCACCTGGGCACACAGCTGGGCCTTTCCCAGTTCAGAGGTTGATGTGATGGGGAGAGAAGGGCATGCTGCTCTTCTGACAGCATAGTCTCACACCCATGGTGTGCAAATGCAGGCAGGTACTTTGTTAGTCTCCCTAACCAGGCTCGATGGGAAATGTCCCATGGACAGTGTTCAGCAGTGCCCACCCATCCAACAAGCATT